CAAGGGATGGAGGGGACTGTAATCAGGAAAACACAAACACACAAGAGTTGTCTCAGGCATTGGAAATATTCTAGTTTTTGTAACATGTGGTGGATATATGATGTTCATTTTATTACTTATTGTTCACATTTACATGATACACCCCTTTGCACATAAAATATTTCATATTTAAAACTTTCAGAAAAACTATCATCCTGTATATTATATTTCAATGTCCATTACCTATTAATAACTGTTCAGAATAAAACCAATCACCAAATACAGTACCTTTTCCTAAGATCTTTTTAGGAGCCATTTATTTTGTTTTTTATTTTTCTTTCCTTTTTTTTGTTTAGTAAAAAAGGAAAGCAAACAATAATATTTGGTGGAAAAACAGACCCACCAAATGTTCAATAATATTAATGACTCAGATTCACAGAGCTGTGTTAACCTCCTGGTGATGTAGTGGGGAAATCCTTCAAGATTGTATAGGTCATTTACATAAAGGTTACCAAAGGGGTGGTTCTAACAGCTGGGCTTGTACAGCTGACAAACTACCATCAGTGCTTACAAGCACACAGGGACAGGAGTGAGAAACAGCAACACTCTGTATTATTTGTTCCTGTTTTCTGCATAATTTCCATTTCCAAGACAATGCAAAATATTTCCCAACCTCAAAGGCTCACATCTATCTATTTTACTTAGACATCCATGTAGTCACATTTATCAAGAGTGCTCCAGTGACAGAAACTGTTCCAGCACTGGAGGCACAATGGTGAAGAACACAGACTTCGGACCTTCCTTCTGGAGCTCATGTGCTGGTTTGCTCAAAAGAGATATAGCCACAAAGTGACAAAAATGATGAGTGCTACAGAGAAAAAGTGGAGAACAGCAGAGAGGCTTAGGGGTAGGTGATGGCACCCCAGACAGAGTGGGCAGCTGGTAAAGGTCCTAGGAGAGAAAAGTACCTGACACACTAGACAGTCTGTGCTAAAGAGCAGGGGTGAAAAAGCAACCTGAGAAATGGTGAGGGACAGCTCACACAACACCCAAGAAGCTGTTCAAATATGAGCAAGGATGATTTTCATACAGTTAATTCAAATCTTTAAAAATAGATGGAAAATATTATCAGATTACCAAACTAAAAATATTATCAGATTTACCATTTATACTTTAAATGGATTCCTCCTTTATCTAATGCTGCCAGAATGTGGAGTGAAGATCATAAAATCCTATCCCTTCATGGATAGTAAATGAATTCTTTAAAAGCTTCAAGCTTCCCAATGATTTGCAGCTCTTCCTAAAGAGTCCCCCAGTAAGGCTGAAATGGCTAGCCTCCACTACCCACATCTGGGTGGTGATAGTCTTTGAAGTTTATGCTGCTCATTTTTAGAGCTTCAGAGAACACTGGGGGAGATGGCACTAATGTCATGCATTCCCCTTTGTTCTCCCAGACAAGACTGAACTATTATAAGAAATATTCCCATCGGCTGCAGACATATCCAAGTGAACTACCAGAGCAGCAAAATCACTTCTGTCAAGGGAGCGTTGGGAACATCTGATAATACTGTATTCAGCCACACCGTAGTCTAACTGGAGGAAAAGGTGGCTGCCTCCCACCACTGCCTCTGAGCCCAAGATTTTCCTTCTCCAGACAGGTCCTAGGGGGTAGTAACAAGGCTACCTGATAAATTGGTGCCATGATCCTTCCTGCACAAAGGAAGAAGCTACAGAAAAAGACAAGAGGAGGGGGTCTCTGTTTCCCATCCACTCCCTCCAACTTCCCACACAGTCAGACTGCCAGATAAACAGGAAATAGAAAAGAGAGGGGATTTTCCTGTTCTATGCAGTTTGCTCAGCCTCACACAGAAAAGCTGGGCCTCCACTCCCACCTAACATTTTTTTTAAGTGGGATCTGTCACTCATGTATGTATTCATCTACCAAATGTCTACTAACAATATACTGTATGTTAGGCATTGTCATTGGTAAAATTAATTGGGAGAAACAATGAACAAAATAAATATACTATACACGAAAAAACGTGAGAAAGTTATAAAAAAAACTAGAGATGTGTATAGGAAATGAGTGTGTGTTTAAATACAAAAAGCAATTATAATCCTCAGTGAAACAAAACCTTCTATTTCTGAGGGTGGACAATTTTTAAACTCGTTAGAATACTTTAAATGCTAATGATCTCATATGTCTAAGCTGTTTCTACCTAATTACAAATTCAGCATTGCAATAAAAGAAAGGTGATATTTCTTCAATACTGCTCCCTTACATTTTATTTCCAACCCCTCTTAATCATCTCTACTTGCTTCTCTCCAAAGAAAAACCTAGAACTGGTCAGAACGTGCATCATGTTAAGTGTCCAGTATATTCATAGATAAACTCAGTCTAAGTTTTAAACCTTTAAAATAAATTGCTGAAAATCTGCCAAATTATAATTCTAAGGTTTCTGAAAACCACCACCTACATGGAGCTGCTCCCTGTGCCACATCAGTTTTGATTTCACAACATTCATAAGTGACCCCATTAGGATCAGGGGATGTGGTAACTCAGAGTCACAATCTGCACAGCCATGTTACTTGCTTCCGGGCTAAATGCTGCCCAGCTGCCCAGGAGCTGTCATCCTTTTACAGTCAACAGGAGGTTCTAATAAAGAAAAGTAGCAGTGACAACATGAGACCTGATTGATTTTGGAATGCACTATGAGGGGGACCCTCATTTTGAGTTCCTCACAGACAGACTCTGCACAACAAAGCAAACTCTTCTGATGAAAAGCTGGCCTGAATCTCAATCAGGCATCTGATCTGAGGCTCTGCCCTTCCTGCCTGGATCTCTCTCCTGCTAGATAAATAACCTGACGTCCTTTATTCCAAAGCAGCTGTGCGAGCATCCCACAGTCAGTGTATGGTGAACTAAGTGAATGAAAGTACTTACTAGACAAACATTCCTTCTGTTTTCCCATTTTACAAATCTTCAAGCCCTGTCGTCACCCTCTATGAAAAGGACACCATTTATAGGCCAGGTACTGCACTTAATGCACCCAAAATTAAGATATACTATTGTGGGGTGAGGGTACAAACCCCTCATCTGGCCCTTTGCCTCTGATGGGCCTCGCAAGGTGTCACCAACCTCCATTTTCTAAGAGCTCAAGGCACTAAGTGCTAATGTGCTGTTCCCAACAAGGCCCCTAGGGCCTCCTGCCTCTAACTGCCTCTCTCAGAGCTTAAAACAGCTCCCAGAGCACACCCACCAGCTGCCCAAATTATCCCCACTGCAGACCGTAACAACAGATCACCCTGCTACACCTTTCATCCAATTACCTCAACTATGCCACCACTCTCCCATCCAGAGCCACCACTCTCCCATCCAGAGCCACCACTCTCCCAACCAGAATCAGATCAACTCCTACCCATTGCTGGAGATTCATGACATCTGCCCTGCTTAAGGAATCCTTCTGCCTGCTTTCCCTTCCTGAGTCTAAAGTACAAAAGGGTAACTTGCACTTGGTCCTGCAGGTTCAGAGCCAACTAACTGATCTGATCACATTTCCCCAGACTTTATTTAGAAGGAGAGCCTCTCCCTGAAAAAGAGGGTAACAAAATCACCAACAATGAGCCCAAGGAAACGCCCTTGGTCCCTTGACCTCAATCTCTAGCACTGGTGTCCTCCTCTGTATAAGGAAGGCTGTGATGGCAAGAAAATCCTCCATTGGCTTTTCTTTCTTTTTCTTCCTTCCTTCCTTCCTTCCTTCCTTCCTTCCTTCCTTCCTTCCTTCCTTCCTTCCTTCCTTCCTTCCTTCCTTTCCTTTTCTTTCTCTCTCTCTCTTTCTTTCTCTGTTTATTTTTAGAGAGAGAGGAAAGGGAGGAAGAGAGGCAGAGAAATATCAATGTGAAAGAGACACATCAATCCATCAGGCCTACCCACCTGGACTTTGGGTTCAGGACTGCAGACTGAACCCAAAACCCAAGCATGTGCCTTGACTAGGAATGAACCCATTTGCAAGGCCCAACTAACTGAGCCACACAGTTCAGAACTCCACTGGACCGTTTAAACAGGTGTTCCAGCTAATGCAGGCTGGCCTCAATTTCCCCAAATATAACACAGAGAACAGTATGGTGATTACCAGAGGGAAAGAGCATGAGGCAGAAGAGAACATGAGGGGAACAAATGGTGACTGAAGGAGACTTGATTTTGGGTGATGAATACACAATATAATATACAGGTGATGTATTACAGAATTGTATGCTTGAGACCTATATAATTTTATTAAACAATGTCACCCCAATAAATTAAATTTAAAAAAATTTAAACATTTTTCCAAATGCTTGATTTTCAATGAGAGTGGTTAACCTTTAGGGGGGAAATACTTTGTTTTTCATAAATTTTACAGGCTTGAGTTTTGTCCTATCATTCCTTGGAAGAAAATGAAGGGTGTATGGAACATACGTGTTCAATTATGCTAAGACCATGAGCTTGGGATTTGCACAGCCTCGGCTACCCACGCCCCCGGGAGTGGAGACCCCACTCCACCTGTTCCGGTCCTACCCACAGTTCCGGAATGCCAGGGACTCCCAAGCTGCGCCCATCCGTGGGCTAGCGGAAAATCCCAGCAACGACACCACCTGCAGCCTCGGGTGCGTCCAGGTGTCGGGAGTCAGTGCAGGCCAAAAGTGCCTCCCACAGCTCCTCCCCGACGGCCCTCGCTCCCTCCGGTCACGCTCCAGCCAGCGTTTCTCCTCGGATTCCTGAGCCAAGTCTGACCTCCTAGAGGCCACTGGGTCAGGCACTGAGGGCCCCTACCTCGCCTGGAAAAATGCACGAACCCACAAGTCCTTTTGACACAACCTCAAAGGGGCTTGCACGAGAAATGCACAAAAAGGAAAACAAGCCCGAGCAGGGCCGCCCCGACCCAGGCTCTCCCGTGAAATCGCCACCTGCGATTCTGTCCCGCGAGGACGGAGGTCTAGGGCCCGGCCGTGGTGCCCGTCCCTCGCCCCCGCGCGCTGCTTACCGGTGAGGCGGCCGCCACCCCCACCGTGCCCCCGGCGCCGCTGCAGGATAAAGTAGCAGCTGCTCTTCTGAGTCACCCACAGCTTCAGAGCGTTTTTCAGCAGCACCTCCTCGGGCTTGAGCCACATGGCAGCGGTCTGGCCGCGCCGTGTGCCCCGGCTTACATTGCCAGACCGATGGCCGCGGAAGGCCGACCCTACTCGGGAAGAGGTAGCAGCAATCGCTGCCTGCCTAGCGCCCGGAGAGCACCGCTGGAGAAGCTAGCTCTGCGCAGCTTTTCCAGCTCAGCCCGCCCCACGCAGCCCCACCAAGACACCGCCCACAGGCCCGCCCTAGCCCCCTCCCAGTCTGCCCCAGGCCGCTCCCGCCGGCGCCCGCTCCGTGAGGCCTCCCTGGTGTCGGAGTCCTGGCCTCTCCAGTGCACAGTTCCGGAACAAGGGAGGGAATCCAATCCCTGCTGCCAGCCAGGTCCTCCTCCCCTCCCCACCAGGCAGCGAAGGGCTCCGGGGCACTGGCTCCTCCTCCGCCCTTGCTGGGAGGCCTCTTGGGATGGCACAACATCCTGAGCCCAGGAGGAGAGAGTGGGAAAGACCACTGGTACTCCACAGCTGCAGGATGGCGGACCTGAGGCATTTATCTTTGGCAGGACAAAATGCACGCCAGAAAACCCAGGCGTGTTTGGAATAACAAAACACTTAAAATAACAAGAAAAAATTTTACATAACCCAAAAGAAGTATTAAAAGTTAAAAATAATTCTTGTCCGATTTTTTAAATGTTTAGCACACGTTGATGGTCTGTTAAGGGATCCGAGGGAGCTGCCGAAGAGGCAGTGCCATTCGTAGGACCCTGAGGGAACTGACTGAAGTCAACACTGGACTTCCCTTGAGGACACAAAAATATGGATGGGTATGAGGTGACTCCTGCAGGTCCCCTATCAGGAATGAAACTAGTCGCGTTTGTTCTGAGAATTGAAAACCTGGGAAACATGGTAGGTGATAGTATGGAAAATCTGGAAGAAATGTGGAGGTAGAGTTTTAAAAGTATTTCCTCAGAGCTAGTGTAGAAATAGACACAGGGTAGCTGGCATTGAACAGGCTGGTGGGCCTCCAAGCCATCTCTGCAGGAAGGCAGTTAAATATAACACCCAAGCAAAAGAGTGAGGAAGGTTAGTAAGCCGGTACAGGTGTCCTAGGGAAACTGAGACAGGCAGTTAAACAGTTAAATGGCCAAGCAGTTTACAGCCATCTAGTGAATCCCAAAATTCTATCTTCCCTAGCGGAATATACTTAAGAGTAAATGGTTTACATTTCTCCAAGGGTTAATAGCTTAAATTACCCTACTCAGAAAGGTAGATAAAAATCCAACTAGTGCCATTTGTGCCAGCCACACCCAAGGACAGATGAAGTGGGGTGGGGGAGGGAATAAAATTTGTTTCAGTGCATCAGCATAGAATTATTGAGACCCTCCCCCTAAGACCTACCCTAAACTCCCAGCCTTCGAAACCCTGAAGACAAAGGACCCAGTGAACTCTCCCTCTCAGAAGTGATGCCCTATGCCTTTCCCTCTCCCTCTTCTTATCCCCAAGTAGCATTCCCTTTCCCTTTCTTTCTCCTAAGCTCCAGAGCCCTTCTATTGCTTCTATAACTTATTTCCTGAATCTATGGAGCCCCACTGGCTCACTTCTACTACCTGCGTAACTTTGTGAATAAACCTCTTACAATTTGTGTTCTTGTCTCTCAATTCTTTCTTTGCCAAACCCAAGAATGTAGGTACAATTTCACCACCAACACCACCAGTAACAAGAGGAAAAGAAAAACACCAAAATGTCCCTCTGTTTTTAACAAAGCAATCCCTAACAAAATGCGACCGTTAATTAGGACAAAACTGAAAAGTAGAAGTTAGTTAAATTCCCCAACGGGGTGCCTTGAAATTGAGTGAAACCTCTTTACCATGAGCCAAGGAGGATCAGAGGGATTGATACAGAGGGATCTGATCAGATCTTTGGGGAGGAGTAGGGAGGAGCCATAGGAGAAAGTTGCCTAAGTCTAGGACAGGACTGGCTGAAAAGCTGAATTCCTCCAGAGCTCATGGTATTATAGGCCAGAAGATTTAAAATAAAAGAAGGACTCTGGATCTCTGGCTCTCTGGCTCTTCCTCAAGGATACCTGGAAAAGGTATCCTTGATACCTCTTCGGGTGATGCAGCTGTCTATATTACCCAGTGAATGGTATTTTGGATGGGAAGGAACTCCCTGGCACAGCCTAGGATAGGGCTAGCCTGGTAGAAGGTAGTCCAGTTATTCTTCTCTGGATGTTTTAGAGGGAACAGGCTCTGAGGCAAAAGCCTACCATTCCAAAGTTGCATAGCTTTTGTAACTTTTGTTGTTTTAGTTTGTAAACTAACTCTAGAAATAAGATAATTAAAAACTAACAGGAGAATGATAGGAGAACTCAGGTGTGAAAGAGTTTAGCTTTAATTGATGGTTTAAGTGATTAAAGCTGTAATTAAAGAGCTAAAGAATTCATGGGCTTAAGTGACTAATACATGTGGAAAGCTGTTATTTTAAAATTGTGTAGCTTTTGAATAAAGACTCCTTTCCTTTACCACCAAACCTTCACCTCCGGAATTTTGCCTAGAGGGTGGCAGCAGGCTGCAGGACCCCACTTGCTGTATGGTAACAGGATCAGCTCAGAAACTTGGCCTGACCTGGCAGGTAAGAGGCCACTGTGAGCCCTGCAATAGGACTAAAGGACCTCCACCCATGGGTCAGGAGCATCTGTGGTCCAGAACTGGAAGGTCACTGACACATATCTTCTGAATAAAACTGAGGGAGGAAGTCAGATATAATAAGGAGGATTTGTGTGCATCACAGCAGACAGAGCCCTCACAAATGGCAAGAAAATATTCCTTTTAGAAACATTCACTGGAACCTGCCCCTGTCAGACACACTGGCAGGCGCTGGAATTGCAGAGATAAATGGGAGATGGCCTTGCCGTGAAAAACTCACAGGTAGAGAAAATAGGCACAAAGTGCAGTGGGGGTCATGGTGCGTACAGTGGGGATGCACAGAATGAAGGATCAGTTCCTCAAGGAAGGTATTGAGAAAGACCCACAGAACAGCTGTTGGTCAATGGGGCTTGGAAAATATTTGCCACAAGGTCAAGGAGAGAGGGTATGTCTGGTGAATGAATCAGCAGGTATGACATTGTGGTTTAGGCACACTTCTGAAAGCAGTCCTACACCAAATCTTGTTCTTGCTGCTAGTTAACTGTGCAACATTGACCTTGGGCAAGATAAAAATCTCAGTAAGTCTCAGTCCATTCATCTATAAAATTGGAATAATCATAGCACCTTTTTTAATATATACTATCCAGTGTTTATTTAAGTACATTGCTTGAAACACACATAAGCACTCATTAAATGTCAGCTATTATTACTAAATGTACAGAAGTTCCTAGAAGTGAAATAACCCACATACACACTCACTCATATTTTAAACATGAAGAGTCTCCAAGTCTTGGCCCATGTACATTCAGACTGAGAAGACTGAAGGGCCTGTCCTAGTAGCCTCCCAAGCGCAGGTGGTTATGCAAGAGCAGAGGCCACTGGACTAATTTATCCCCTTCACATCCAGAAAAGAAAGATATTAAGTCACATATGGTGACCTACCCATACTGAGCATTACTGAAAATAGACTTTAGTCAGTTCGGTTATACGTAACTAGTAAGTTCCTTTTGGTAAATGCCAGTTGCCACCACTGGTTTGAAATATGTAAAGAGCTGAAGTTCCGCCCCTCCCTACACACTCAAGAAAAACAATTTCTTACAATGGAAGCAAGTCACAGACCAAATGTTGCTGCACATTTAAACATATATTAAACATTTATTAGAAAGAGAGCCCGGTGTAGTCCTACATCCTGTTCTATAAGGTCCTGAAGACTCAGGTCTCTAACTGCACCTGGCATTAAATGTTTACTTAAGATAAAAACACTCAGTGGATTGAGCTCAGTTCAGGCCTTCTAACCAAAGGATCGAGGTTCGATTCCCAGTCAGGGCACATGCCTGGGTTGCAGGCTAGTTCCCAGGAGGGGATGCACGAGAAGCAACCATACATTGATATTTCTCTCCCTCTCTCCTTCCCTTCCCCACTAAAGATATATTACCCAATGAATGGTATTTTGGATGGGAAGGAACTCCCTGGCACAGCCTAGGATAGGGCTAGCCTGGTAGAAGGTAGTCCAGTTATTCTTCTCTGGATTCTTCTCCTGAGTCTTCAGGAGCTTATAGAACAGGATGTAGGACTACACCGGGCTCTCTTTCTATAAATGTTTAATACATGTTTAAATAAATAAAATATTTTTAAAAAAGATAAAAACATAACCATATGCTGAAGTAATTTTGTGGTTGGCATCAGGCAACCAGATTCCTCTGAGTCAGAAGTTGGACATAGGACCTTTTAGTTCAAGCCTTAGATGCCATTCCAAAGGGTGAGAAGTGAAGAGCTCACTAAATTTTAGTCAACCCACCTTCTCATACAAAACAAATTTCACCAACAAAATGGAGATTATGCTTTTAATCTCCATTGGGCTAATTAACAAATTCTCTGTTGTTTGGAGAGGAAGACAGCTGGAGTATGGGTGTTTGATTACATACTACGTAACCAACCCCTGGAGGGTGTATACATGATTAGAATTAGGGTGTCTGTTGCTGTTTCCTAGGGTGCAAGTTAAAACCAACTAGTGTACACATATATGTCACATTATAACCATGTTATGGTGTTTTAAAGTAAATTACCACCAACATCACACCACTGTCTTCCTTTCAGAAGTCATAGGTCTCTCAGATTTGTGGTTTAGTTAGAACATAGTCATTAAAAGCATCCCCTTCAGCCCTGGCTGGTGTGGCTCAGTGGATTGAGTGCTGGTCTGCAAACCAAAGGATTTCTGGTTTGATTCCCAATCAGGGCATATGCCTGGGCTATGGGTCAGGTCCCCAGTAGGGTGTTGCCAGAGAGGCAACCACACATTAATGTTTCTCTTCCTCTCTTTTTCCTTCCTTTCCTCCTCTCTAAAAATAAATAAATAAAATCTTTAAAAAGGAAAAATTTTTTTCAAGAAAATCACCTTCTTCAGGGATTGCTAATAGCAGGAGGTCCCCAGCATTCCCTTTTATAAAGGAAGTGCACTACTCACTCTGTAATCTACAGCAGTTCCTCTATCCTCTGCTTACATTTTTCCTATGTCTATAATTATATAAAGAATATTAACAAGTTTGGAAAGAGTCCAACA